AAAGTTGTGATTGCCGAGGAATGGCCTGAATTCACATTGTGGTAATTTCTGAACAAGTGCAACTTATTTTCCATCATGTCTAAAAACAGGGATAGTCCGTTGCGACATGCATCCAGACCCCCGCTACCATCTTTTTTCTGCCCTCCTCCATGCCTTGCCTCTAGACATCATGTCTATCTGGCAAAATTTTGCTCCTTGCCTGACGAGCATCCCTCAAAATAGAAAATTCAGAATCATCCTCTCTTGTTTTTCCCAGAGGGGTGCCCAGTGATGAGGCATGGCATCTTGTGCACTGTTTTGCTACCTAAGCAATTTTATTCTAGGAGACAGAGAAAGAGTCCACTTCCTTTGCAATTGGCAGATGCTCTTCTCCTCCCATTAATGAATTTCGGTAAACATCCGAATTTTCGAATAACTTTAGCAGGCTTCGGAATTACAACAGAGGTCTCCTGGATGATCTCCCATTCATGCAAGGGAGGAACACATGTTGAAAGAGAAGCAAAATCTCATGTGCTGCTTTGAGTCTCGGTGCTGCCACCACCCTTCTTCACCTTGAGGAGCTGCCTCTCTCTGCTGGTGAGCACCCCTCCATTTGAGAAACGGGTCATTGCCATAAAGCCTCCTTGAGGTCACAGGTTCCTCTCCCATTTCTCAACCGGAGGGGAGTACCATCCTCCAGCATGAAAGAGAAGGGCCCTCCCAAGTTCTTCAGCAGAAAGATGGATTTTCCCTGGCAAATCTGCTGAGAAGAGATGATTAGATCGTTACTGAATGGGGAGAACCAGTCCTCGCCAATCCGCTTGAACAGGGGAAAACTCTCTCCCAAGGCAATCTGTATCCAGCATGGCAGTTATAAATACGTCCTTTGGCTCCTTGGCATTGATGCACATATGTCATCATTCTCTTTTCAGCACCGGCCTCGGAGACTCCAACAGGCGATGTTTGTCTTGCGATCTGATCAACAACTGCACGTACTTCAGCGCATCCTTCAGCCCCAACATGGCCCATTTCTTGTTGACCTGTGAAGGTAGGCTTTGCATGCTGTCCAGGAGATATGTCAGACCTGTTCTACACCCACTGCAACATTCTGCTTTTGCCGTCCTGAGCTTCACCTCACGATTATTTGGCCTCCAGTTTTTAGTATTCTTTCTGTCATTAAGGGGGGGGCACTCTTATTAAAGGCAGTGGGGGACTGTTCAAGGGTGCTGGACGTACAAAGCTGCCCTCCACAAAACAAACAGTGGAATTGCTGAACAATAAAAAGTTCCAGTTTGTGATCTCGCACCATGGCAGCCAGTGTGGAGTTCCTCCATTTGCTTAAATGAGGGGAGCAGATATGTGCTGACAAAGGAGTGGGCATATAGATCTCTTTCATGCCATGGGAAGCGAAAGGGGAAGCAGGAATCTAGAATGGAACATACTTTAGGATGCAGGCAGGTTGGCTTCTAAGTGTGGTGGGAGAGGTTGGAGTACCCGCACTCTGTCACGAGAACAAAAGCCTTGCCATGCAGAGAATGGCTATTCCAACTGCTTGTCACACACTTTCAGGATATTTGCTGTGAACATAGTTCAAGGTCCACAGCATGGTGTGAGAACAGTTTCCGGTTCAGGGGTCAAAGGGAAGCCTGGACAGGAAGCCCTGCCTGAGGAGACAGGAGGGAAAGCCTAGACTGGGTTGAGTGAAGCCTCATAGTCTCCCCCTCCTAGCCACTCATGCTGTCCTCGTCAGGTACCCACTTGGCCAGCCCCAGGCCTTTGTGCTCGGGGAGAGGGCGGCCCCGACTGATGAGATCATTGGGAGCCATTCCTTGGGACCCGTACCTGTTGTGGCTGCTACCTTCCGACTCCTCCCTGTGTCAGGAGTCTGGTCACAGGCAGGAGGAGCTCATGGCTCAACCATCCCCAGCCTGAGGATCCCTGGAGGGAGGTAAGTGGAGCTTCTTTTGTTGCTCCAGTTGTCTGTCCCAGGTCGGGCTGTGCTGGGGAAGGTTGAGTCGGGATGCCAGGCTGTCCAGCTCCCGACGCAGCTCTTGAAAACTTATACCCCCTCCCAATGCTGTTGATCTCTAACATGCTCCTGGACTCGAATCTAGCTCTGTTATTAATACAGAACAGTTGCTGTGATATAGCATAAAACATTTTTTTTTGTTATTGAGTTCTTCATCCCGCCAACATCACAGGCTCGTTAAGAAACGTATATTCGTCACTTTATAATGAAAAGATGATTGAATCACCGTGCAGACACTAAAAAACACGCATGCTAAGTCAGCTTTCAGTCTAAAACCAGTGAAAGTGGAGATGGAGTCTTCCGTAAATACGTTGCGACCAAAATATTCATCATCAGCTTTGGTTCTGCAGAACTGTGAAGAATGTTGTCTTGAATTGAGGCTCGTTTCATGCACCTTTTAAAATAAACGCATTAGAGAAAAGCTGTTTCATCCCATGTCCTGTGAGTTCTTGCTGGGGGGGGGGGAGCGATGACTTCATTTGGCTGAGAGAAAAGCAGGCAGCTGTCGGCTCTCCTCGTTCTAAGTTCTGCTGATCAGAATAGACCCCTGCTTTAGGACAAAGTGCAAGCTAATTAAAAATAGGCCCAGCCAGTAATTAATGCAGAGGTGTCTTGCTCAGGGCTTTAACAGCATCCATCTTTGCTGGCCTTTGCAGTCAGAATCAACCGCTTCCAAGATGTATGGAATAAAAAACATAAATGGGAAGGAACCTGGAGTGAGCAGTCATTTGTTTTATTTATTTTTTTGCCGTCTGGAGATCAGCCGTGTGGCAAACCACCCCAGCCGCCCAACTTAAATGTCAGACTGGATTTGCAGGACAAATCTCTCTTATAGGAGAATCTGCGCCAGCAATCCATTGCCTTAATTCTCAGCATTCTCCTGGTTAAGTCAAGGCTTTTTAAGAGGCACAACAAAGTTGTGACCAGTGTTCTCTCTAAGCTGAGTTAGTGTGAGCTAGCTCACAGTTTTTTAGCCTCCGGCTCAGGAAGAATGGCTCCAGAGCAAACTAACTTATGCAGTAGCCAAATTGCTCACTCACAACTTTAATGCCAGGAGCTCACAAAGTAGAATTTTTGCTCACAAGACTCCACAGCTTAGAGGGAACATTGTGACACAGCAGATACAACTTGCTAGCGGTTGAATTCAAAGGTATGAGCTTAGTTGGGAAATAAGCACTTTTGAATTCAGCGGAAGATAATTCTCAGCTAATTGGGCTGTTATGTGCGAAGAAGGTCTCAGTGGCTGGCGGCAGCACACAAGAGAACCGCTTTAAGACACTTGGCCGTTTGCATAGGCTGAGTTGAAGCCGTTTTCGATTTCTTGTTTTTCTTGTTTGTTTTCATTGCCGTACTGACTGGAACAAAGTTTACTTTTCCGCAAGCTTAGTACTGATAGACTCTGCCTGCAACTGCAGATCTTAAACTCTTTAAAGTGTTTCCAGCAGTCTTCTTTTATTCCTTTTTTGTCTTGTTGGAAATGCCTAACCGCCCTTGTGCAGGTGTGCATATGAGTGTGCATGTAAGAAGAATCGTCTTAAAAGCAGCTAGGAAATGAGGCACGGGAGTCACTCAGGGCTGATTCACAAAATATTTTATGTATTTATTTTATTTCTATCCTGCCCTTTCCGCATGCGGGCTCAGGGCAGGTTACAACATATAAAACTCACAACAATAAAGCCAACTGTAATACTTGCATGTCTTTTTCCAAAACAAAGTTTGAGTCCCATGGCACCTTTAAGACCAACAGAGTTCAAGGTATCAGCTTTTTTGTGCATACGCGCTTCTTCAGATTTTCCAAATAGAGATAGCGGAGTTGATTCATTAGTGCAGGCAAAAATAACTGTGATTTGACACCATGCCTTCACTCAGAACCATCCATTCCTCCCCACCTCTCCATTTAAGAGAGCCAGTTTGGTGTAGTGGTTAAGTGTGCGGACTCTAATCTGGGAGAACCGGGTTTGATTCCCCACTCCTCCACTTGCAGCTGCTGGATGACCTTGGGCAAGCCCTAGTTCTGATAAGAGCTGTCCTTGAAAAAGAGCAGTTTCTGTCAGAGCTCTCTCAGCCCCACCTACCTCACAGGGTGTCTGTTGTGGGGAGGGGAAGGGAAAGGAGTTTGTAAGCCGCTCTGAGACTCCCTTGGGTAGTGAAGGGTGGGGTATAAATCCAATCTCTTCTTCTTCTTCTTCTTAATATTTTTCTTTAATCTTGGCATAATATTCTGGACAACTCAACATTTTGCATACTGCACTATGAATGTTGGTGGGCTGTTATAAAGATCTGGCTTTTCTGACTCTACCCGTTGTGTTTAAGTGAATCAATATAATTACCTCATCTTGGTAGGTGTCAGACTTTTCTAACTTTTCTCATTGGCTTCCTAAAATCTTCACAGTTACTGGTAAGTTTCAGCTTTCACCGAGTTTGCAACATTTACCATATCTCTATGTACTCTGAGCAGTGTTTTTGTGTGAGTTGCAAATACCAGACGAGGCTAATAATTAGGGGTGAGCTGGAATGCCCCCTTCCAACTTCACTTTATGAAGCTGCCTACTGAATCAGACCACTGGTCCATCAAAGTCGATACTGTCTACTCAGAATGGCAGCAGCTCTTCAGGGTCTCAGGTGGAAATCTTTCACATCACCTCATCTCTGATCCCTTTAACTGGAGATGCCAGGGATTGAACCTGGGACCTTCTGCATGCGAAGCAGGTACTCTACCACTGAGTCACTGCCTCTCCATTCAGCAGATGCTCTACCACAACAAGCTGCACCCTATTCACAAGCGGTAAAGTAAGGATAAGGTGTTTTCCCTGCTTAACAGACGCAGTGATCGTACTACCCTTTGTTATGAGGAGCCATGTTTATTTTCCCTCTTTTTACCCAGAAGACACCACAGTGAAGGAAGTAAAGCCATACTTCCTGCTTGGTTTCCTGGCAATGACACAGAGCCCATGCTTTCTGCCCTGCTTACCACCAGCAGCAGGAAATCCTCTGGTCATTGCTAGGAGCATGTGAACAGGCAGCGGAAGTGAAAAACAAGGCTTCATGTTGTGGGCTGAAATAATTCTTTGTAAAACGTTTTGCACATCCTAATAAACTACTCCAAAGGGGACGGCAAAGGATGAGATGGTTAGACAGTGTTATCGATGCAACGAACATGAAATTAAGCAAATTTCGGAGCACGGCAGAAGACAGGAGGGGCTGGTGTGATGTGGTCCATGGGGTCGCAAAGAGTCGGACTCAACTGTGTGACTGAACAACAACAAAAAATAAACTACAGGAAGGTCCTACCCTGGCAACACTTCCTCAGATCTTCCTCTAATCTCGTTCAGCAGTACCAAGAAAAATAGGAGATGCACCGTTCTAAGCCCATTGACTTCAACAGACTTTGAAGAGCATCACTCAGCTTCTGTTGTTCATCTTGCCCAAGTCTCTTTTGTGCTGGGGACAGGATCAGTCGTGAAAGGGAAAGTTTGTGCTGGTTTCTTAGTGCCCTGAGATAGCCCTCATTCTGTAAGGAGATTATTTCCAGATTCGTGATCCTGAGATACTTTAGGCAGTTAGAAATTGGCTAGACCAGGCATGTCCAACTTTGAACAGGAAGTGATCTATTTTTTCTGGCCAAAGGTGCCGGTGATCTACCACCATGAAAATAAAGTTTCAAATTAGTTTTAAATTAGATTTTAACCCACTAAAGTTGGGTTCCACCACCGCCGACCCCATTTATAATGCACCTGCTGTCATTTACTGGTAAGCAAAATAAGCAAAAACAAAACAGAGAGACAAAGATCCAGAAAGAACTGCGAACATTTTTTATTATTTATTGAGTTATAACTTTCTTTAACTGTCTCAATAACTTTCCCTTAACTTTTATTCAGAGTTATTTGTGTTAAATGTAGGTCAATGCCACACATGCAGTTCTAAAAGTAATAAGAATTCATCATACTGGCACCAATAATCAAATACCACCAAAACAATCACAAAAAAACTCCAAACACGATACCCAACCCATGTCCGGG